GAACTGTGTTGTACCCAGAATCTCTTCTAAGCTGTTCTAGATATTCTTGATATAGACTTCAGGGTGCTTAGTCCCTGCAGACCTTCTTCTACTGGGAGAAGGAAGGAGGAAATGCAGGATGGACTATCTGAAATATTATTTGCAGCAATATTGCATTTTCTGAGGGTCTGATAACAAGCACTGTAGTTTGATTTGCTAACCAACACTTGAGAACAAGCCGTTCTGAAAGCAAAAGCAGAGCTGTGTAGTTCAAGGGCTGTCCAGAAATCCTGCTAATACAGATTTAATTATACACTCCCCACAGACTTTTCATGTAGCTGGGGCCATGTTGACCATTCTTGACTTGGTTTCCCCATCTTTCAGAAGAGTCTCATACAGTCCTTCCTGTATGTGTCGTGAGGAAAGCAATCTCTAGTTTTTTTGGAGGTGTTGTTAAATTCTGTGGAAAGGTAGATATCAGCAGGAAGACTCGAGCCCTTGCTTTAGAAACATGACTTGCAATTTAAAGGAAGAAGACGAAACACCAGAAGTCAAAAAGGCATAATGAAATTTTTAGAAAGCAAAGCTGAATCAGAACATGTTATGTTTGCAGCTGCTGGGGTGTGAAACTTCTTCCACGATGTGATAACCAGCACAAATTACTTTATTGCTTGTAACAAATACAGATGGACAGATATCAGGGTGAAAGGAAGGGCAGGGGCACTTGCAGACTGACAGTGAGAACCTTCCACCACATGTTGCTTGGAAATAAATGGCTCTTAATCAGCTTTTCTGCCTTTCTTTATTTGCAGGAAATACATAGAGTTAATAATATTCCCAGCAGAAAACAAAAATGTTTTTAGGAAATGCATGTTGGCTTATGAGAATTGGTCTGTATTTTAATGACATTGTCTAAAATGCTAATGTTTCTCTCTTCATCACGATTCACAAAGCTTGTGGCTTTCAACTTTATCTGAAATGACAAAGCTTCCATGGTGGGATCTGGATTACTCCATTCTTTGTCCCTTCTCCAATGCTACAAGTCAAGAAGTTTGTTGTTCCCAACAAACATGAACATGGTACCTGTATTCCCTGCCCGATGATCCACACTGCTTTTGAGTCAGGATTGAGTTCCCTTCCTTTTACATGCAGCAGCACCTGTAGCAGTGTTAGATATGAAAAGTCTCCCAAAGAGAAGATATTCACTCATAGCTTTTAGCTGACATTAAAAAGAAAAAGGGATGAAGAAGATGTTTCTAAAAAATGTGTGGAAAGATAATATTGTATTTTCACCCACAAGTGATGTTGGTATCTATGTCCACACAGTGAATCATTAAAACTAGTAGTCATAGAGGAAAAGCATTAAAAATTAACTTCTGTATTGTAGGTTATGGAATAAGCAATGTAATACATTCCTTACTTCCACCTTGTAGCTACATTTCTAAAGGTTTGGTTTGCTGGATGGTGGGGAAGGGGAATTCAGTGTCCCTGCAATCTGTGCACTTTGTTACATTGTGAGGACTTGGGATGGGTACCCAGGAGAGGATGAGCTGCAGGACCAGCTTAAGCAACGCACATGAATGCACTGAGATAAGTTTGTTTGCTGTTGCAGCTCCCATTTGGCTGTATAAGATTCAATAATGCATTTTGCTGGCATAGTCACTCCTTCAGTTGATTGGTGTTGTCATGCCATGACCCTGACATCCTATTACTCAGAGAGGTTTTCAAAAATAAAGAATGCAGAGAACTATTAATTTCGTAGTCTAAAAATAAACAAAAGCAATTTCAGAAAAATAAACCAAACCCAGAACGTGCTCAAACGTCACAAAGTGGTGTTACATGACAGCATGACCCTTTTTACCTTTGCAGGATGCATTCAGGAAAGGTCTTATCAGTGCCAATCAAATTCAGACAAAACCCCATCAATTTGTACTGATGAGCTATTGTTTATTTATATGTCATCCCTCCATCCTCAATTAGCAGAACAAATTTAGACATTGCCCTGAATACACAATGCAAATCTTTGCTTTTCTTCTCTCCTTTCCATGTCAAGCACCACACCAACAAACAGTAATCATAAACAGCCCCATTAATAGGGTTTGAGTCTAGGGAATATAGGCTCCTATTTCTCTAAATAGCCTGAGGGTGATGATTAATTTACATCCATTGAGTGCTTTTCCACAAAAGAATCACTTTGAATAGACTTGATCCCAGCACTGAACTCAGCTTCTGTGGGCACTGACAGGTGAGGAGTGCCAGGAAGATGCTGTTGGACAAGTGCAGGCTGATGTTGAATCCAGCTTTACAACCCCCTTTCCCAGCATGGCCGTTTGCAAGTGATCCCCTCAAGGAATGTTATGGCAGGACAAAAGCCAAATCGTTTTAAATAGAAAAGAAAGTTCATATTTTATTTGCTTCAGATAATCCCTAGTGGATGGACTTGTGAGGAGCAAATTTGCAACTGGCATAAGCAGTGGCAATCTCAAACTAAGCTCACTGAACTAGTGAGAACTAAGAGTTCATAAAGAAGTTCAATTTAGATTTCGCTGTGTTAGAAAGGGAATTTCAGGATCCATCAGCAAAAGAGGTTGAGGGAAACAAATGTCAAAATTTGGCCTAGAAATCTTGGTCCTACTCCTTTAACTTTTCTGTTTACTGGCAAAGTTCACACAGATCTTTGCAGGATAAACCCTGTTCCTGAGTTTGGCACACATGATGTGAGGATGCTTGTGATCCACTCTGGGGCCTATGAAAACTGGGTCATCAGGAAGGCATTGGGGTAGATCTGAGGGGTTCTGGACATCTTGTAGCTGAATAAATCTATTTAAGCTGAGCTCATTAGAAGCAGGTTGTTAGGGTATGTTTCCATTAGGACAGGCAAATGGTGTTACTCAGAGTCAGCAGTCACAAGTTAAATTGCAAGGGGTTTGTAGGGCTGACACAAAGAGCTGTGCAGCACCTTGGAGGGATGTGCTGTGCTGTTATGGAAGATGATATAGGGACAGTAAAGATTTTGTGTTTTCATTTTCAAATTGAACCCAGGCCGTCATGGACTGAAAAAGTAGGAAGACACTTGGCCATCAAAGATACTTACTAACATTTCTTGTTTTAGAAATCACTCTGAGAAATTTCCAAGGAACAGAGATGTTGCCTGGGGGAAGTACAAGTTTCTGCAGGAATTGTTAGGTTGTTTTTTTTTCTGTACTAGAGCTCCTTGAACATACTCAAATGTGGTGGGGCAGTCACAAAACCTAAGATAAACATACTTATTTTAAGATGTGGATCTTGTTAAAAGAGGCTGGTTACTGGTGGGCTGAAGACCTGGTTATCTTTATGTTGTCAGAGAGGCTCCTTGGAAAATCAATGACAATCTACAGGAAGGAGTTATAGCTTCAAGGGAAGGGTTCTGCAGATTGTGTTCTGCAACTTGATCTTGCATAAAAAGTGCTGTAATGAACATGGACCTGAGTAAACTGCCTTCAAGTCATACTGTCCCAGCATACCTATAGACTTTATGGACACCTAGCATTCTGAATATGAAGTTTTATAAACCTCTGATGATGGAAATTTATCACTCTTCACAAAATTCATTGAATCTGAGCTGTAAGTATTGCTGGTCCTTTTATCTGCTGTGGGAAAACCAAAAAATAACAGAAACGGAGAAATAGTCAAAGGCCAGCCAAAGAGAAAAGCTGCCATAGAGACTGGTGGATGATTCACAGTTTTCAAATCTTTCTCCTCTGTCATAAGCATTCTGTTTCTTGGGGGAAAAAAAGTCAAATCATTGCTGTGAAAAAAAAAAAAAAGCTTTCAAGAAAGAAACAAATGTTAAGAGAGTTGACTTGGTTGGAATTTTTTCTGTACATATACTCTTGACATATCAGTGCTTAAACTTTTTATGCGTGCATGAAGGGGGACAGGGAATAATCAAATGTTAGTGAAGATGCCCCCATCTGTTTCATTATCTCAGGGTGTGAATATGCTCTTTAGCTCACATAGTCCTTGCTCTTTCAGTGCCAGGTGGTGTCACTGCCCAGATTTCACATCCAAACCAACTGTGAAGGATTTTTTTCCCAGCACATGCAGGAAGAGGGTCCCCAGCTGTCCCATAGTCCCATCCTTTTTGCAGAAGGCAAATATGCAACACAGACAGGTCTTTATTTAAGGATTCCTTTCATTAGGACTTGGGGAGCCTTTTCATTTATTTATGAAATAAATGCAGGTCAGCTCTTGTCACCCACATCAGATGTACTCAGTCCCCACTTGAAGAGCAAAAATGTTTAGCTCCAGCACTGTGCCTTCCTCCTACTCTTAGTGCTCCCTGGAGCAAAAACATCCTCACCAAAAATCACCTGGCAAGGTCACCATCTAGGTACAGGAGAGGAAATGATATGTCCTCTGTCCCAGCCGTGTATCTGGAGTGCATCCAGTGATGTCTGACACCAGAGTGTTAGTGTGCCTCACTGTTCTGGAGGCACCACGTTTCACTCCTACCACCACTGGATGCTATGGCCCATGTGGAAAGCCCAGAGGGGCTCAGTGACTTGCCCAATATCACACAGGTGGTCACAGTTGAAGTGAATCCTGGTACAAAGCACAGAAACTGCTTTGCTGATCAGTTTGAGCAGGGTGACGAGGAGTAATGGCCAGAGATGAGAAGGCAAGATGTAAACAGATGTTGTGCTAGCGCCCAGAGACTGCAGTTAATAGGCACAGCATTGCACTGAGGCCATTTTACAACTTCTAGCTCCTGAGCAAGCTGTCACAAGTCACTTGAGTGCATCTGCACTGAGCTTCACTGTGTGGTAAAATTGTCACCTGCTCTCTATCTACCCATTCCAAGTTAGTAACTTAATTTATGGTTTGTCCTTGCTCTGAATCATCCTTACTTAAATCATCCCAACACACACTGAAGTCCTTGCAGATCAGTAGCATTTTGGATTAAGACTGTTATGAACCTCTGATGATGCTGATTTATCACTGTTCCCACTCACGTTGTTTTTCTGTCTTCCCCACTGCAGATCTGCGCAGGATGACAGCTGGTTTCATGGGCATGGCTGTGGCCATCATCCTTTTTGGATGGATTATTGGCGTGCTGGGGTGCTGCTGGGATCGAGGCCTTATGCAGTATGTGGCAGGGCTTCTCTTCCTCATGGGAGGTAAGGATGGTGGTGTTTGAAGAAATGCATTTTTCTTCTTGTTTTCCTGTTCCCTCTTTCCACATGTCCCTCCTTTTCTAAGTCACTGAAAATGTGTTTTCAGAGTTAGTTTACTTGATCTGAACTTGCTTTCATTCTGAGCTCTTTCTGGTGTATATCAAGAATCAGCCAGCCATAGTTACATTTAACTTCAGCCACAAAACTTGTCTGGAGTGTTTGTAACTCATGGTAGTAGAAAGGGTAATCTGAGTTTTTTAGTATAGTACTCCCTTGTTGGAAGTAATGCTGTCACTTAGTAAGCTCAGTAATACAAATCCAAAGATTATGCAGACGTTATTCCTACCCCTATCCTATTTCACAGTGGGACAATTTGATTCCTAGAAACTGTGCTGAGAGTTATAATCTATATTTATTACTCATCAGCTTTTCTTGAGTCAAATGAAACCTCTAGTTTATATCTCTCTTTTTTTGCTGTACCTATGAAGAGCATTCTCTGTTTTCATTTTCCCACTATATATACACTTTCTTGTAGACTTCTCTCTGTAAGAACAATTATCAATCCAGCAGCCCTTTCTGCCACCAGTTCCTGTTTGTACTTTCTCAAATATGGATGAGAAGGACCACTCCCTAACAAGGTCTAATCAATGCCTTATATAAGTGGTGTGATGGTTTTTCCTTCCCCTGCTGGTAATTCCTTGTCTGAAGTATTTTGTGGTTGTATTTGCTTTTTCATGCTGCATCACATTGGAGACCCACAGCCATCCTGCAGCTGGATGAGACATGCAGGCCTTTCTCCACCTTTGTACTTTCCTACTGATGCTCTCCCAGTTTACAGAAGAGGTTTTGTTTATTATTCCCCAGCTGCAGGCCCTGACACTCTGTGCTTTTGAACTTCTTCCCATTCCTACTACACCAGCCCTCAAGGTCATCCAACATTTTCTATGTAATGTACCAGCCTTCCTTACTACAGATGTCATCCAAATTTCTGTCTGCAGCAATTTTCAAGGCACAGTTACTTGAAATAAAGGGTGTGAGAGTCAAGTCCCAAACACATTGCTGGGTGAATATCTCAAAGTGAACACCACTACTTCTCTCTTCTTTTCTCTGCTGGTGATTTTTTGTTTAGCTGGGTTTTTGCCCTCCAGGCAGATCATCACTTCAGTGCATTTTATCATCTGTTTATCTGTACTGTGGTGTGGCACAGATCAGTGTGTGACATAGAGGAAAGATTCTGTAGTCCCAGAAGAGGAGTTAAGTGCTGGAGTAACAAGTATTTATGTTCTAGTGATGTTGTGCTGGTGACATTAGACATCAGTTCTCTCTGTGCCCTCAAACACATTTGAAATCTGCTAGAACCTTGTGCAAGCACACACTGCTTGCTCTTTGTGGGGATGTCTCTAAATGGTTTGTTTCGGGTGTCAAAACATTATAGGCGATGGCTTGCCAGATGAGCTTGGTGTTTCTTATTTATGTAAAAACTTAGTTTGCACAGGAGCCATTTTGCTCTAATCTGCTCAATTTACTACAGCAAAACATTCAGATTAAAATATTGAGAGTATACTAAATAAATACAGAAAACTTAAATTTTCTAGAAACTAGCCATGTCTTGTTTACTATTCTGAAATTATCATTATATATGGGTTGGTTTCCAAAGCAGCTGCAGAGGTTACCTTTTGGCTCGATGTTATTTGTGAGTGATTTGAAAGATGACTGATAAAGTTTACAGGTGAAAAGAGATTCAGTTTTAACTGTGTGTAATGGAATGGGTCACTCACAGCTTACAAAGCTCAGTGCAATGCAGCTGCTAAATGTGTTATTTTTTATGGAATATGCAATGAGACCATGAGGTGGGGTTATCTTTGGGCTAAGCAAAACTATTTCTGGACATCCTAATCAGGTGTCAATGCTAAAGATGGATGTGGAAAGAACGGGAGAGGTTTGCAGAAGAGCTACAAAAATGAGTTGTGGTTTGAAACACAAGACAAAGACAGCATGCCACAAAAAGCCAATTGCTTGAAACTGTTTACCAGAAGGTTTATAATTGACTTGAACACAGAGTGGAAGTACCTATGCAGTGAGAAGCCATCTAATAGTAACATGATCTTTGCATAGACAAAATAATAACCAGATCCAGCAGTTGGAACCTGAAACTAATTGAAATGAGAGGCACCAGATTATTTTATCTGCCAAATTCTGTCAAGATGTATAATATTATAAATAAAGATGTGCTGGGAAGAGATCAAACTTATTTTCTGCTTCAGTGCAGACACGTGGATCAGCATTACCCAAAGGTTAAGCTCTTTCTTGTTTTGCACAAGTCAATAGCAACAGCTATACTGATTTCTTTTAACAGCAAATGGGCATAAAGTAACATTTACAAACTGAAGCAGTCAGTTAATAAAATACACAACTAGAGCCATCTAATCTAAAAGTCAGTAGCTATCAATGTTGTCAGATGGTGTCATGTGTTACACAGTCATTCCTTTTACAGCCAATGAGTCTTTTAATTTAAACTTTTTTATTGCTGGATGGTGTTTGAATATAAAACTGTTGCTTCTGTCATGCCATAAATGCTGTCAACATATTACTTTACTGTTTCTTAAAATGCATGGAGCCAGAATGCCTCTTAGTTTTGCCTAACTTTTTCTCCAATAATGGTCCAATAATGGAAAAACTGATTTGGAAGGCTTCTGCCATCTGACCTCATTGTAGCTGAGAGGAGACTGTGTTCAATTGGTAGCCATAGAATCAGACTGAAATCTAACCTTTCTTTCCATTTTCAACACCACTCGTCTTGGCCATGCTTGTAGCATTTGTTCAGTTTTTATTTCTAGACAAATAGCTCTTTTGCAATGCGTAAACACTGCCAGCTTAGCATATCTATGGGGTTTGTCCCTTATTGCCCATAATTCTTTGAACAGGAAATCTCAACAGAACACTGAGAAGTGTGCTATAATAATCTAATAAAACCAGACGTGATTTGCTTGGACCTCTGGTTTTTTAATATATTTACCAAACAGTCTTCTTGCTAACCCATGTGTCAGTGCCTCATAAGGACTTGCTTTACTTTGCTTGATCTAATTTCTCAAGCAAATTGCTGAAACAAGTAATTTACGAAACACAGGCCATTATTTGGTGTTAGTTCCTCCAGAATCCAGGACATGTAAATTGTGATTTAGAGTCTGCTTTACACTGCTATTCTGCATGTTTTGTAAGCTAAAAATTATTAATAATTCATCTTTTCTGTTTAGTCCAAATGTATCTGTATCAACAGCAATCACAGATCCCTTATGGCTTCCACGGTTATTTTCCATAATTTTAGGAATTTATTGTACAGTTTATACTTGGATTCCTTATCTTGAACAACAGTGTTTGCCTGACCACAGTAGAACTTTTTTTTCAGTCCCTTGTCTTCTACAGAGCCAGATGGATACTGTAAATTATGTTTAGCACTTTTTATCTCATTTTGCATGACGGTACTGCTGCACAGCCTCCTGTACCCAGAATTACACTATCTGTTGTTGTTACATTCCAGTATTGTCAGTATCATTTTACCCTGCAAGGCAAGAGAGTTTCCCTTTTTGAGAGTTTCTCCATTTGGAATTGTGCCTTTAAATTTTGCTGTAATTAGTTCATTTGATTCATCTTACTTGAGACTGTTTAATTCTATTACAGAAGTGGGTCACACTCAAATTATACATGACTCCAAGCACATCCTCTTGCAGGTTCTTGTGTTTTCTCTTCATGCAAATTACTGAAAATCTGTGCACCACTAAAAGCTCCAACCAGTCATTTTGTAATTTTATAACAATTTCTGGAACCTTAGGAGCATCTGTAACACTACTTCCAAATGTCAGAATCCTGTGGCAAACGTGATGCTTTCATGCTCATCAAAGTACCTAGTCTAACAGGAATTCAGATAAACATCTACCTGAGGGAATGCACATGGAATATTTTATACTTTTTGTTTTGACCAAAGTAAATTTATTTGCACCAAAACTGTGCCTTTGCTTTTTCAAGTCTGGATGTGGCCACCTCCTCAGTTCCCAGGAAGTGGTGCTCACATTTTCTGGCTTTGAGCAGTTCTTTTGAATGTTCAAATCCTTAACTTGTTTGGGTTTATTATCATAGCAAACCTGTCAATTCTTTTGGTTGGTGTCTTCAGTCCCTCAACATCTAATTTATCAACATTTTTATCAAAGTCAAATGTCAGTTTTAGTTCCAGCTCCAAAGAGCTGAGATGCTACAAATTGCCACACTGGTAACTCTACCAGGGCAAATTCCATGGTCTCCAGGAATCCCTTCTTTCTGTTCTCCATCAAGTTGTTTGTGAATATTTCCTGTGTCATGATCAGTGAACAAGCTGATCCATCTAACCCTAGGTGTTTCTACCTGCTCTCCGGCACATTCATCCATAGGATTTTCTTGTTTCAACACCTCAGATGCTGCTAGGTTTGCAGTCATGCAAACCCAACCTCCCCACATCTTCTGTTATTGTTCTTGCCATATAAAATCATCTTTTAAAGACGATCTCTGATAGCCTGATGTTTTCCCAGGTCAGCTGATTTCAAACAGCTGTTTTGAAATATCATATAGTTTGCATTATTTCTAATTTGAGGGCAGGGCTGACTTCGAAGCTAAATGCTTCAAAGCCCTTTTCCTTCTCATCAGCGACTGCTGTGGGGAAAGTGGGATGGCTGCCTCCTGGTGGCATGGTCCAGTGTTTTGGCAGTGATTTAATCCTCCCCCTCCCTACCTTGTGCACTTCCCTGCTGAACTGCTGTCTGTTGTCCCAGCTGGAAATACAAAATGGCACTTCCAATATCATGTTCTGGTACTTGCTTCAGCACACAATTATCCCTGGCCAAAGCTACATCACTTGCCTCTGTAAAGGTATTAAAAGACTGACAAAGAATGATGTTTTATCATCCTTATCAGAGCTCTGTCCTTCAGCTGCACATCCATGTATTTTCCTTTTGTAAGTCTGTAATTTGTACTGA